GCCACGACATCTGCGCGTCAAGAAACAAGTCAAAACTCTAATCACCATTGGGGACGATTCCGAGAATGATCCGACCATGATCCGACCATGACCCGAGACCGTCTCGCAACCGTCGTTCCGCGGAGCTTCCCCGTCGAGGTTCGGAGCAGCATGGAGGTTCACAAAGTGCTGCGCCTGCCACGAACTCTGCACATGGAGGTTCACAAAGTACTGCGCCTGCCACGCAATCTCACATGGAGGTTCACAAAGTGCTGCGCCTGCCACGAAACCTGCGCTTCGAGACTCACAAAGCGCTGTGCCCTGCCACAAAATCTGCACTTCCAGGTTCACAAAGTGCTGCGCCTGCCACGTAAACTGGAGCTAGAGCTATTGAAACCAGAGCTAACTGGAGCTAGAGCTCTTGAAACTAGAGCTACCTGGAGCTAGAGCTATTGAAACTGGAGCTAGAGCTCTTGAAACCAGAGCTAACTGGATGATGAGTGGTGTATTATGAATGGTGTATGATGAGTGGTGTATGAAGAGTGGTGTATGATGAGTGGTGTATGATGAGTGGTGTATGATGAGAGGTGTATGATGAGTGGTGTATGATGAGTGGTATATGATGAGTGGTTTATGATGAGTGGTGTATGATGAGTGGTGTATGATGAGTGGTGTATGATGAGTGGTGTATGATGAGTGGTGTATTGATGAGTGGTGTATGATGAGTGGTGTATGATGAGTGGCGTATGATGAGTGGTGTATGATGAGTGGTGTATGATGAGCGGTGTATGATGAGTGGTGTATGATGAGTGGTGTATGATGAGTGGTGTTTGATGAGTGGTGTATGATGAGTGGTGTATGATGAGTGGTGTATTGATGAGTGGTATATGATGAGTGGTGTTTTGATGAGTGGTGTATGATGAGTGATGTAAATGTTCGTAACACGGAAGTTCCTTCTAAACTTCCTTTGAACATTACATTCTGGAGGCTCTTTTCGTTTTTGCGTTCATTTCTTTCCATTCCCCGTTAGTTGTGCATTCCTGTCCTCAGAATTTCCTTCAAAAGGTGATACGCTCAAACCGGTCATGCAGGTACCCTCCCAAGTGACCCAAGCGGTCGCAAATTGTTCACGGAAAATGTAACATTACACGCTGAAGGCTCTTTTTTAGGCACTTTCTTTCGTTGCCTAGCGCTCACGCACAGGCTTCAAGATTGCAATGAAAGGTTGCAGTAATTTGGTTGGAAACGAACAAGGAATCGAAACACGCGCAACATGAAAGGTAAACCAAACGAACCGAATAAGCAATGAAAGGAAATGTCTCAAGGGGGAGAGCATTTAGCATTTAATGTTACATTTTAATCAATTAACAAACCCAGAAAATGTAACTGAGCTAAATTTGCCAGAACGTGGGGGGGACCTCTACGCTTCCATCATTTCCGTGTAAATGTTCAAAGAACCGTAAGCTGGGGGGTCGAAAATGTACCATTACACTTTTGACGCTTAAACAAATGCGAAGGTATATAAGTTATACCATATAAGCTCTATTGACCTTTAGTTTTCAATCACTGCTAAAACTCACTGTGGCTGCGGCAGAAAAAACAAAAAAATAAGTCACAAGCAACGGTCCAATAGAACGGCTTCTCAAAGCAGTGCAGCGGTGTCAAAATGCAGATTGAATCCAAATACAGCGCTGAGGCTTGCTGCAGCCATATCATTTTGTTTTGTTGGCTGTAGCGCTACGACATTCCTTCTGCCCCCTGCCTTTGGTGGACGCTGTGAACCCCTTTTACGGAGGACGATATCACATACTTAAGAAGGAGCTCATAAGAGCATAAGTTCATGGTGGTACCAAGATTGCGCTAACACTTTATGATCTAGTTACTGCGATACCCAACTAGCGCAAAACGACCTGTCCTGAACCACACAACGGCCACGCGCAAACAAACCGCAAGGCGCAACAGTGCGGAACAATATTGTTTAACTCATATAGCAGGTGCACAATTTGGCGCCCCACATTGCTTCACCACGAGCTGACAGCGTCTCCGTTGGGTAGTGTTTGTCAGTTGCGCACTACCCCCTGCTGGGGCGAACACTCGCTTGCTTGTGCACCCCCCAGGATGCAGGTGAGTGTAAGAGATGGTTTGTTTGTTAGTGCTTGGGTGTGCTGCGCAGGTATGTGTAAGGTATGGTTTGCTTGTTAGCGCTTGAGTGTAGTGCTGATGCACCCACCCACCTTGTTCGTTAATGCTTCAGTGCAGTGCGGATGGCCCACCCCGGCCAGCGCGAGGATGCAGGTGAGCGCAAGATATTCTTCGTTCGTTAGTGCTTGAGTGTAGCGCTGATGGCCCCACCCCTCACCCCCCAGGATGCAGATGAGTGTAAGATATGGATTGACTATTTAGTGGTTGAGTGTAGTGCTGATGGCCCCATCCAGGCCAGGTGAGTGTAAGATACGGTTTGTTTGTTCCCCAAAAAGCATGGTCACACTGAGGGTTTCTTACGGGAGGGGTTAAGGGCCGGTGCGCAATCGAGGTGTCGCACAGGCGTGTCCAGCTAATTCGTTGCGATTTCACACCTCTCTCCAAGTCCTTGAAGTGCATTCAAACTGCGCAGGGCGCGGCGGGCGCTTGTTGCGACTGCGCTCTCGTTGTGGCGCTGCGCGGCTTTTCGGACACGGCGGTGGGTTTTCGTGGCAGGCACAAGGGAAACCTCGTGCTTTGGTGGTCCAAAGTCGATATTTTGCGAAAGAGAGGCGCAAGGGATCGGAGCGGCTTCACTTCAAAATCTTCAAAATGCAGATTTCGTGGCAGGCGCAGCACTTTGGCTATGGTGATCTTGGACGCGCTCTGATTTCGTGACAGGCGCAGGCTTTTGTACTTCCGCCTTTTTTTTAGAAATCGTGGCAGGCGCAGTACTCTGTCCACCTTGAAGTGCAGACTTCGTGGCAGGCCCAGCATTGTTTGAACCTCGGCGCGCAGATTTCGTGGCAGGCGCAGCACTTTGTGAACCTGGAAGTGCAGATTTTGTGGCAGGGCACAGCACTTTGTGAACCTCGAAGTGCAGGTTTCGTGGCAGGCGCCAGATTTCGTGGCAGGCGCAGTGCGTTGTGAACCTTGATGTACAGATTTTGTGGCAGGTGGAGTACTTTGCGACCTTGAAGCGCAGATTTCGTAGCAGGCGCAGCACTTTGCGAACCGAAGTAACCGAAGTGAAAATTTCGCGGCAGGCGCAGATTTTGTGGCAGGCGCAGCACTTTGTGAACCTCGAAGCGCGATTTCGTGGCAGGCGCAGAACTTTGTGAACCTCGAAGCGCAGATTCATGGCACGCGCAGGACCTTGTGAACCTCGAAGCGCAGATTCATGGCACGCGCAGCACTTTGTGAACCTCGAAGCGCAGATTTCGTGGCATGCGCAGCACTTTGGGCACCTCGACGTTCTCGATCTCAAGGCCTCTAGATTGCATTCTGCGCTATCTGTGACGCGTGCTCTCGGATGCTCACTCACTCTGTCATCACTCACTCACTCACTCACTCACTCACCCACCACCAGCACCACGATCTCCACTTTCATCACCACCACCATCATGTCTGCAAACAACGCATCTAGATCTCTAGACTTTCTGCTGCTACGCCTCTAGACCTCACACGCACTTTTTGGGGCACCCCCCCCCAGATGCAGGTGAGTGTAAAATATGTTTTGTTTGTTATTGTAGCGCTTGAGTGTAATGCTGACGGCCCCTACCACTCCTCACCCCGCAGGATGCAGGTGAGCGTAAGATATGGTTTGTTTGTTAGTGCCTGAGTGTAATGCTGATGGCCCCACCCCCACCCCCAGGATGCAGGTGAGTGTAAGATATGGTTTGTTTGTTGGCGCTTGAGTGCAGCGTTGATGGCCCCGCTCCCCACCCCGGAGGATTATGGTTTGCGTGTAAGTGTTTGAGCGTAGTGCTGATGGCCTCACCCCCCACCCGCGAGGATGCAGGTGAGTGTAAGATATTCGACGTTTGACCGTTTTTTGTTTTAGTGATGAAAGTGCAAGTGAGTTAAGGCGTCCAAGTGAATGTTTTGGGTGCGCAAGTGAGTGCGCAGCGGCCTGCTGTGGTGTCAATGAACTGTCAGTGCATTGCAGGAAATATCCTGAATTAAAGGGAGGCCCATGGAGACGGGGCGTGACACACACTTAGTTTCGAAGATCCAGAGTTATTGCAATTAGACCTTGGCTGATTCAACGGCAAGAAGTGATGGGTCGGCAGGACAGAATGTTTTAGCAAAGCGCGTTCGGAATGAAACCATGTGTTCCAGCTGCATCTCAAATGTGCCCAAGAGCAACGTCAAGCAGGTACAAGATACTGCGTCCAGCATCTCATCCAACAGCACGGCTAGGTGAGCAGTCGCCGTGCCCCCCTGCTTAGACTATACAACACACACTGTCATGCCATGTTTTCCACGCCTGTGGAAACCTCGTCACAGTCGATTCAAGTAGCAACACTCACACCGACCCACTGCATTTGCAGTAGTGACAGGGATCAACTGCTGGTTCTGCTAAAGGTAGCACAGCTTGTTGCCTATAGTGCTTTCTGAAGCTTATTCAAAAGCCGCCTAGTTTTCCGTTGACTGACTGACCGCTCCACCACTTTGCCAGCGGTAGAAACCACCCTCTCTTGCAGGCTGCAAAGCCCACACAACCCAGATCAACCCCGTGTGACATCCCGCATCGGGATGCAAAGAACCCGCATTCCCTCTGCAGCACCCTCTCCCACAACAGCAGCGAGCCCGATACATTGTTCCTGCTCCATTTGGGTTTCTAAGCAAGAACAAAAGGCTCGCGGCTGCCGTAGGCTTCCGCGCGTCACCCGCCTGGTGGATACTCGTCCACTGGCCTTTGGGCTGTGCGTCTTAGCAAGGTATCCTTTCTCTTTGTTGTAGATGAACGCTGACTGAAGCACACAGTATCAGAGGTATTCAAAGATGCTGTTCAAAAGAATGAGAAAAGATGTTGAAGCATTGTTCAGCTCCAGCAGGATATGACTAAAGCTGCAACCCACCCAAGGCGCAAATCAACTGATTCCACGTCCGCTGCCATCATGATCCATTCACACAGCAAGCTTTGTCTTGCGCTGTGAACATGTACAAGCTCGCCTTGTGTTCAGGACACTTGTGTTCGTTTCTCCATTCAAGGACATTTGTGTGCACATGGCTTTTGTTTTTTTGGCTTTTGATGGACTTGTTGTGCGATGTGCTTCTGCCAGGCTCGGAAGTTCGTTGGTCGGCTAAAGCTTGGGAAGGCCAGTGAGTTTTGACGGCTCAAGTCATTTCTGCTTGGAAGCCTTGAGAGGCTACAGTAAGAAAGCATCCAAAGGCCAGAAAGTTGGCAGGAATTTGAATGAGAGACTCCTCCAAATCTACATTTAGGTCCAACACAGGGACTGGAGAGGACAGCTGGGCGCTCAGAAAAATGAACACAATACCGACGCGTCCACTGTTAGACAGCGCAAGTCGATCGGAATCACGCGACAAGCTTGAGGCCTTCACGATCGCTTTGCTCGAAGGCCCTCAAGAGAATGATACGTTTTTGGATTTTGTTGGCCCGCCCTGCCCTCCTAGTACTTACTGTAATGAAGTAGGCACCTACTCAATTAAGTAAGGAGTTAGCTTCTAGTAACTGGACGCAGGATAGCTCACGCTTGGAAGAAGCACTCGCACTATATAATGATTTGGTTCCTAGACCTTCCGACAGTTTCCGCAGGTGCGGCGGGTGGCAACACCTGCGCGATATTCAGCCTGGGGCTTTCGTCACTGAAAAATTAAGATGTGTTTTGTTTTGAGTCGTCTTAACAAACATTGATTATTCTTGATTGCAGTAGGCAAGCGTGACAGCAATTCAAGGACTGGCGAGTGGACTGCAGACCAGACGCAGCGGGACTGGACCCTGAGGCCGGTCCCTGGTGATCCTTTGCTTTGCCTGGGAGTTTTCTTGGATCCTTAGTTTGTTTCCTATCGAGCAAGCTGCGAACCAAACAAAGCGTTTATCAGCATATGTCGCTGGTGTTTGTGTTCCCCACCTGCCGGCGAGGGTTGTTAGATTTTATCAGAGCCTTCTCCTTCTCCTCCTTCTCCTTCTCCTTCTCTTCCTTCTCTCCCCGCTCCTCTTCTCCTTGACTACCGCACCTCAGATCGCAGCGGCAAGTGCGAGATCGCAGTGGGCACTACTGGACCTCAACTACAAGTACGAGATCGCAGTGGGCACTGCCGGACCTCAGCAAACACCAGATTGCAGTGTGCACTACTGGACCTCAACCGTAAGCGCCAGATTGTAGTGGGCGCTACCGGACTTCAACTGCAAGCGCCACATCGCAGTGGGCACGAGACCTGAACGGCAAGCCAGATCGCAGTGGGCACTACCGGACCTCAACAACAAGCTCCCATT